GGCACAGAACCTTTACAGAAGTGGGCAACATGATGAGAGAAAGTCTCTGGACATGCAAAACCCTCCTATCATGTCGTCCTTCCAAGCATCCCCGTGCATTTGGGTGCTGCGCGATGCACGAGGGGGCAAAACCAAGAGTGGAGAAGCGCTTTGATTTCCCATCCACTGGTGCTCCTCTGTTTTGTCTGCCCCTGCGTTCCTCTGCCCCAGTCCTGCTCTTTGCTGCTGCTACTCTTTCGGGAGGGCAGGCAAGGAGGTGGCCAGCGATCAGGTAGCAGTGAGCGAAGGGGCGGCCACAGGTGAGGGGGCGATGGGGAGGGACCGGCAGCTGGGTGGACAATGAGGCAGCAGGAGGGGAAGGCAGAGATGGGGGGAAGGCTGGTGGGCTGGAGATGGGAAAGAGAGGAGGGGGATGCAGCAGGAAAGGGGGCAGGGTGGAGGAAGTGGCATCAGTGGTGGTGAGATCGGGGAGGGAAGAGGGAAGTGGGGTAGGGGAAGACGGAAAAGAAGGCAGGGCAGGTAGGCCGGGAAGAGACACAAACTCTGGAGGAGACGGAGATGATGGGAGAGGCATGAACTGTCGGGATTGTTCCAGCTGAACAGAATTTCTCAGTATTTCCATTCTGCTAAATCTCCTTGGACTGTGGAAGATCCCCTTCCCTTTCCTGCTAATTCCAGGAATCGTTTGCACATTCCTTTCCCCCTGCCCCAGGCCTGCAATTCGTCTAATCTGCCACTGTTAGAAAAAGCAGCTTTACTGGGATCCATCTGCAGATTGAGTGGATACCAAAAGAGAGAAACTGAGTGAAATTTCTGGGGCCTGAACCAGAAAAATCCCACTGAATTCTCACTCATCCCTAGAAGAGGAAGAGGACGAGGAAGAGGAAGGGGGGGGGCTTGTGACTAGACCTTCAGTACAGAAGCTCAGTGGAATCTTTGCATCCAAGAGCCCCCTGCCATTTAAGCAGCAAATGTTGTGGGGAGAATCTTTGCACCTTGTTCGAAGTTCCTCCTGCCCCGTCTGACTGGTGGGACGACAGGCATGCAAGGCAACACCTGCTCTTTCGCCGAGTTCTCCCTAAGCGACTTCAGGTGTGGCACCTGTTTTGTGCTTCGTTATAAAGAAGCCTTGATTATGTTATTGTATTTCCACTACTGCCCTTAGGGCAGAATCCAGTGCATTCCCGTTGGACTTTTCCCGTCTAAACACGCATAGAAGTATGCTCTGGCTCCCACACTATTTATCTCATTGGCTTTCTCATCTCTGCTACAAAAACCACACAACTCTTGCTTTTGCTCAGTCCTTCGTTTGGACCACACGTTGCCAATAATACCCTGCAAGCTACACACACACACACACACACACGGTATTTTCACTCAGAATGAATGGAAAACTACATGGAGCACTGCAAGAACAAGCCAGCTTGCGCTCTGATCTCAACTGCATCTCTTCTCTCCTCTTCTAATAAGGTTCCCTGGCTTAAACTAACCTCAATTCATTGCTATTTCTGAATGAACTCAAACAGTGATCTGTTTAAACGGTAATTTATTGAAATAAACCAACATCAAACTGTCAATTCTAATTCTGGTGAGTTGAAGAAAGCCATAGTTCCGAACTCAGAGGTAACAATAAACCTCAGTTAATAAACCATGAAGTGCTTCCTTCCAGTTCTTCCTTGTGGCCAGTGCAGAGGAGGGGGAAAGGTGTGTGTGTTTGAGTAAGTGTGTGTGGAAAGTGCTCAAACAGGCTTGTTCGCATGATGCTAAACTGAGGTATAATACTACATCTGAACCTGCCAATTGCAACAGCATTTTAGTCTATCAAAAACACAAAATGGGGAGGAGAAAGGGAGGGAAAAGAAATGAGAAAAGGTTCTTTCACTAAAGTCCCTATTGCTTCACTTCCACAAAGTTTCAGTAGCTCGGGAAACACAAATTATGCACCACACTCGTTTTCTAGAGTACCGCTTGCCACCTTAGGTTTGCAGAAACAACCTCCAGGCAACGAACTGATGTAATTTTTTTAAAAAATCAGATCCAACTGATACGATCAACAGGCCAAACAAGAATTGCATGTCCATGTTGCGGATGGGCAAGGCAGAGATGCTGTTTATGTCAATCCAATATGTGTGGGTTTCTTGCAACAAGAGATTTGGAAAGGAGAGACCACTTTGGACAGGAAGTGTTAGGATTAGGGAATGGATTGTACGCTTATGCGTGGTATCCCAGGACAAAGAGGAAAGAACAGATGCTACCTCTCCCAGATGCAACTGGCACTCAAAAACCAATAAATATATCCATTTGGCACAGAAATCGCCCCCAAATTAGACCAAACTTCAGGACGTTCCGATCTCCTCTCTGCACTCCCGCTGCATGATTTCTAGGTCACACTTCAGACTCCCCACTACGTAACTCCAGTGCTCTTAGCCGGAATTAGTTACTCCTTCGTGTGCCTCCTTGTTCTCACAGGTGGGATTTCCTCCACTCTTGCAGCATATGTGTATGGATATGATGGAGAATTTAAATCCACAATGGAGACCAGAGGGATGTTATTTGTCCCAGGTGAAATGAGGACAGGGGTGAGATTTGGTGCAGGTGTATAAACTAAAACGGAGAGGAGAGATGTACAGTACAGAGAACTGTCTTAGGAAGTGGTGAACTCTCCTTTGTTGGTGCGTTTAAAGGAGGTGCTGGACCACCACCCATCAGGGCTGGTGCAGCTGCATCCCTCGATGGATTGGGACCGTAATACTTGATGGAGAGCCTCTTGCAGCTGCGTGGTACCTGGATGCTGCAGGCAGCACCTGGGGCCTTCCCCAAGGGATGCCTGGAGGGCAGCAAGAAGTGGGAGGACATTTTCAGGGGTGGCCTCTCCCCTCCCCATTGATGCCCAATGCCAATTTTATCATTCTTTTAGTGTCAGATGAACAGTTCTCTGTCCCAAGGTATTTAAAGATACATGTGATATTCAAGGACTTGAGGGAAGATGCATCCCAGGTGTTTTATGGGTCTTCTTTCTATCTTATATATCCTGTACATAGTCTATACATATATATATATGGACCCAGTGTGGTTGTACTTGGGACCTGGGAAATCTGGCTTCCAGTCCCCAGATCAGGCATGAAGCTCAGTGGGTGATTTGGGGCCAGTCAGACTCTTAGCCCAGCCTACCTCACAGGGTTGTTGTGCAGATAAAATGGAGCTATGTAATCGACCTTGGGTTCCTTGCAAAAGGGAAAAGTGGGATATAAATGCAAGGTAATGATTATCATCATAGCTGCCGTTCTTGTTTTTTAATCTGCATATTTTGGAAAATGTTGCAATAGAATTTTATCGTATTGTTTATGAACTGTTGTAAACTCCCCAGACAGCCTCAGCTTTTAGGCAGTGTAGAAATGAAACGTAAGCAAGTGAACAAACCAGGTCTTGCTTTAAGCAGGGGGTCAGAACAGATGACCTCCAGGGTCCCTCCCAACTCTAATATTCCAGGATTCTGTGCGGCATCAGGCAATCACATCATCTTTTTGAGATGGTCAGTCCACCAAGATAAGCCTCTTCTGGGATAATTTTCAGCTTTGGTGCTTTTGGTTCAAGCTACTCACAACATGTGCAGTGAACTCCTGAAAGAATCACAGACTGAACATGGGGTGGAGGGAAACACACTCCCTCTGCGTGAAAGGAAGACACGCAAAAGCCTACACAGCAGTGTGTTTGCATTTCATGCACTCGCTTTTCTCAGCGGGACCTAGTTGTGTCTCGGGACACCTTAGCTGAGCCCGGCGTCCATGCTGAGATCTGGCTTCTGGCCTCAGCAATGCAAAATCACACAGAAGAGAAGAGGGTTCCTGCACATGGGCAAGCTGCTTTTTGTTGCATCCCTTGGAAACCTGGACCAACTTGCTCACATACGGGATGAGATGAAAGTATTCACACTTCTGTGGTTATGGCATGGAGGTACACCTGAGCCCGGGGGAACGCCTGTGTTTTTTTAAACTGAACAAAGATTTCAAGATAGTGTGCATGAGAAATTTAGACTTAGTGACAAAAACGGGGGAAATGGGTCCTCTCCTCTTCATTGCACCCACAATACTTTCCCTTACACCCCATACCTGGGTCCTTTTCATTACATGTCCCTTTTCATTCAATTTCTCCACCAGACCAAGAGACAACGATGAGAAAGAATGCCCAAAGCACAGCAGACGCTGACATTGATGCACAGATCCCAACAATCCTAGAAAAATGACACACATCTCCCAAAATGGCTATCCCTTCCTCCACTTTTCAGGCATTCATAGCGGAATAAATCCAATTCCTATCAAAGCAACTGCCAGCATTATTCGTGGTGCACTCTTAGTTTTCATGTATTCACCCGCCTTGTCTTGGATGGTAAATGTTGATCTGTGATACATATTGAACACCTAAATGCTGCAGTGTTTGATGTACAGCCCCAAATCCCTTATTTACAAGACAGAACTGGAAATGGGACATTTTTCCATCTAACTATCAGAACTTTGGAGAGCAAAGCTGGCCAAACCCAGTCAGAATTTCACTGCCCGTTCATTCGATTTGAACCCAGGCAGGGAAATTTCCTCCAGCAGCTGGGATTGTGCAATTGCAGCACAGTTACATCCTCTGGATCTGCTAATTATCACCCCCCCACCCACCCACTGCACCACATGCAGGGGATTCCACAGGAAAACTCACTGGGATGTGTCGCTTTTTACTGTGTGCTTACAAACACCCAGCTTCTGTTCCAAAAGGGAAAAAACAAACAGAGGTAAGTCAAAGAGGTTCTCACAAGCCAAATTTGGAAGCCTCGATCCATGACTCTGGGGAAAGGAGTTTTGTACACACCAAAGGGAAAGTGTTGTCTCTATTCCCACAGAGATCAATTAAGAGAGAAATTGTGTTCCCATATGTTTTTGCCACAAAACCTCAGCACAAACCTAGGCTTGAAGCCTCTGGGAAGAGAGAAGGGACCGGAGAAAAGAGCTACTTACTGGTGGTGTTGTATTTGACCCCATTGACAAACTCTGGGCAAGGTCTCTCCACCAGTTCCCCGGCGATGGTCTTGGGCCAGCAGGTCCCAATCTGATCGGTGGTTGAGTTGCAGTAAGGACCTTTGGATAAGACACAGAGAGAGAAATGTAAGCGAAGGGGAGTGACGGAACGATTAAGCAAAGCAAAGCAAAGCAAAGCAAAGCAAAGCAAAGCAAAGCAAAATAGCAAAGCAAAGCAACCCACGACCCGAAGCCCAGCTGCCCAGAGACTCTTCCGCCCGTCCCGTGCTCCCTACCATCAAATCCATCCTGCAATAGATCCAAGAGGCTGCAATTAGCATCCAGTTCTTCAATGAAGTACTGAAGAATGATGGTCTCGTTCATTGTTGTCCAGCACTGGAGTCCGAGGAACTGGGGGGGAGGAAGGGAGGGGGGGAGGGAAGGTGGGAGACGGACCGAGCTTCCTACTTTGCCAGATTCCCGTTGGCTTCGCCCGCTCTCCTCAGCCAATTAAGTGCTGCAGTCCTCTACCAGTCCATGTGGATCTCTCTCTCTCTCTCTCTCTCTCTCTCTCTCTCTCTCTCTCTCTCTGCTTCTGCCTCTTGGTGGGTGGGCACAGTGGAATCCTCCAAGCGCTCCTGCTTTAAACAGCAGCTTGGAAGCCAATAAGATCACATCCAGTTCCTAAGTCCGGGGCTTTCGGCTTCTATGCGTGCCTCCCGCCTGCTGACATTTGGCGGCCGTTTAATCTTCCCCAGCTACTGAGAGAGAGCGGGAGAGGCTGAGAAAGTGCATGTGTATGTAATTTTGTCATCTGTCATGATTGGCTTGATTATCCCTTAAGCAATCAACATTTAATGCACCATCAGTTCGGCAGGAGGGACTCCAAGGAAAGTTGCAGGCTGAAATTAATCTGCCAGATTTCTCCAGCTTCGAAGCGATTCCTCCCTGTCCACAGAGGGGTGACCGGGCTCATCCACTGTCCCTGTAAGCCCCCCGCCCTGCCATATCACAAGTACTCTGCAGGAGGTGTCTCTGTCGTGGCAATGTGGGAGGAAGGCATTCTGCACATGCTCTGTGAGACTCTGCTTCTCACACTGCTGAAAGTACAGTCGGGAAGGAAACTGCCCCAGCAAATGAAATGTGAAAATTAAAGCCCTTGAGGGGCATTTGGTGGCACCCCAGGAAGAAGTATTCCCTCAAAAGTATACTTTTTTTTAAAAGGAAATTGCATCTTTCCCAGATTAGATGCATAGCCTCTCCTTCAGGGAACTTTGGCCGTGCTTATGTCCTATTGAAAACTAAGCAACGCAGTATTTATTTATTTATTAAAACATTTTTATGCCGCCCCATTTGCCGAAGCCTCGGGGCGGCTCACAGCATTAAATTAAAATGCAAACATTAAGTTATAACATTAAGTTAAAATGTTTGTAAGATGCAAACATTAAGTTAAAATATAAAAAATAACAATATAAAATAAGTCGCCCTGGCCACTAGTTGTTGGACTTTGTAAAAGCATTACTTCCCCCAAGGAACAAAGGTGGGAATCGGGGGCGTTGGCGGAGGTGGGGAAGACTTAGCCCTGCCCTGCCCATGAAGCGGTCCGTTTCCTACTTTGTGGGCCCTTGGCTGACTTCTGAAACTGATGCCCGGCGAAGGGGACGCGGTGAGGGATTGGAGCCAGAAGAGGCAGCCGGCATGGCGAGGCGTCATGGAAGGCTCGAGAGAAAAAGGAAGCTTGAAATGAACTTGACTGTCTCTCCTAAACAAGATCGTACACAAGGGAATGAAAGCTGGGCAGTGAAGGAAACGGACAGAGGAACCGGATGCATCCAGCACATGGTCCTGGAAGAGAGTGTGGTGTATACCCTGGGCCGACAGAAAGGCGAGCAAGTGGGTCCTGGGTCAATCAAACCAGAACTTGCCCTGGGAGGAAAAATGGTGAAACGCAGGCCGTTCCGATTTGGGCGAGTCACAAGAAGGACTCCTTGGAGAAGACACTCGTGCCGGAGAAGGCAGAAGAAGAGGGAGGCCAAATGCAAGACGGACGGACGCCACCAAGGAAGACGCAGCCTTTGCGGACAGCTGAATGGGGCTGAATCCCTGGTTTGGAGGGCTTTCCTTCACAGGAACATCACCAATCAGAGACAACGTGACAGCACAGAACCGTGACAAGGACAGAACAACTCCAGGGAACGCCTCACTCCATCCAGGCACAAGTCCAGTGCCCCCTGCTGACCAAACTATGTAACAGTGGTGGCGAACCTATGGCGCCTGTGCCACAGCGGGCAGGCAGAGCCCTCTCTGTCAGCACACGAGCCAGGTCGCCCCAGCATCGCCCCACCAGCTGAGCATCGTATAGGGGCGATGCGCATGCTTGGAAAGGAGTGGCAGCGCCAGGCAATGACGTCACAAGCCGCGACTCGTCCGAGCTTTCACATGGTCGGTCAGTGCACTGCCAAGGATATATATATTTTTGCCTGGACTGGCTGTGAGTTGTTTTTTCTAAACTAAAACCTGAGTTTTCAGCTTTTATTGCAGCGTTGGCACTTTGTGATAAATAAGTAGGTTTTAGGTTGCAGTTTGGGCACTTGCTCTCAAAAAGGTTCGCCATATAATGACACTATCCACCCTTGCGTTTCAACAATACACAGACAGACCAATTAATCCTGCAAGTGCTTCTTTCCACACAAACGATGTTGGAGAAACCTGTAATGGCTTCAGATTGCTTGGGAGTTTCAGAGATCGGTTTTGCAGTGGGCTGCTTTATGTATGTAATATGGATTCTGCAGACTGCAGGTTGGTTTTAAACTTTTTTTTGGTAGGTGGATTTATGTTCACTTGCATTAGCACTAATGCTTATTAACCCAATTTGGGTTAGCACTTATGCACACATGAAAATTAGTCCTAGTATAAATTAGCACAAGTATTTTATTTATTTGAGCACAAGTAGAGTGCAATACTTGTAAGAATAAATAACTAAATCTGATTCCAGCAAGGAGGAGACTACAGAACAAAAGATGCCTGACGTGTGAAGCACAGACAGAATGGAGGTAACAAAACCCTATTCCACACCTACATATCTTGGCACACATGAGCTTGGGGAGAACAAGGCTTTTATTAAGCCAATGTGCAGATTTCCCGTTAAGCCCAGGTTGAAATCTTTGCTTGGCTCCAAAATTCCTGTCTGAAATTGGGCTGGTCACACCCTCTTAACCTAGTCCTGTCTTTAAGATGTGTTGGCTTACGACTCCCATCATCCCCAAACAGCACATGGAGGGCATGTTTGGATGGGAACAGCTGGCCCAACTGACCTGAAGATAATCACAGGCATGATTCACCAGGAGAATGGTGGAATTTTAGAAAATGAAAGAAAAAGAAATATAATAATACAACTAAATGTCCGTATTAGCCATAAAGACCTATGGGGATCCGCCTTCATATGCATTCCCCCAGAAGGTCCAGCCAGCATGCATTGCCCCAGTGCAGTGGCTGAGGGCTGAAGCAAGCATGATTTAAAAACTTCAGCAAGCAGCTGCATCTCTATTTCTTACTCTGGAGTAGGTGTAATGCACCCGATCCAGACTGGGACCCCAGTATGTGCAATGGAAGGAACACACACCTGCCTGGATCAGCCCCCTCCTGCTTGCAACTGATATCGTCAAACAAAGATGGCTTTTCTTAAATGGACTGCGATTCAGCCATATCCGTACAGGCCCTGATCCAGGTCGTGGCACTGGAGGAGGGTCCAAGCCCTTCACCCCCATGCCGGGGTCCCAAGCCAGATCAGGCCCTCTGCTAGGATGTCTGGGTGGCCTCCTTTATGGACCACTGCCCCTCCATCTGCCGGCACAGTCTTCTGCTCAAATCGTACTTGTGATTTCTGCATTTCTGTCCATCCATATAAATGTGCACATTCATTTACATGCGCTGCAAACTGTTGTCCTCTTTCGTGCTGATTTACAGACGTCTCCTCTTTGCACCGGTGCATAGATGGCCGTTCTCCCCTCTGCAGCAACCGCAGGGCAAAAGAAGAGGAAACGGTGCCGCTGCTCGCTGCATCTTCAGCAAACTTGCCATTGATCTGTTTCCCAGCTCAACTCACAGTGTGTGTGTGACCTTTAAAGGGCGTGCGGTTCAGGTCCTCCCAGGGGCACCCACAGGGCCACCTCTTCCCATCCAAGTGCTCCTGAACATGACCTGGTTCACCAACCCCCCCCCCACCTTTCAGTTCTGAACTCTCATGTGATGGGGACAAAGGACCGGGACGTCTTTCCTGCTGGCCGGGCTCTGGAGCCCTTTCAGTGACCAGGGAGACCCACTTCAAAGCATAAGAGGCTGAGCACGGCTCCCAGGTGAGAGGCAAGCAAGACACCTGAGGCGCAAACAGCAGGGGCTCAAGCAGGGGAGTTGTCTCCAGGACCGGTAATGGTGGTTGAAATGAAGCCTGCCACCACGTTGGGCAGTGGGGTACGCCATGGGGACCATCGTTGTTAACTTGGGGCCACGGGGTACGGAACCTCCTCCCCAGAGGCCAAACCTGGCCCTCCTAGGGTCCCGGTTCCACCCTCCAGGTTCTTCAGGTGGCTGTGCCCTGTTTCCCTCAGCCACTGAACCTTTGGTTCTTTCCCAGCTTTTGTAAACTTTTCTCCCTATTCTAAAATCTGAAAATGTGCCTCTTCCAGCTTGGTAAGATGCCAAGACATTCAAGATGCAGCTGGACAACAGTCCCTCAAGGTGCTTGAACTTGGAGGCCTGCGTTGAGCAGGGGACTGGACCCAACGGCCCTCTTGGCCCCTTCCACCTCTACTAGGCTATTCGGCCATTGTCTGGGGTGGTTTTGTCTCTGATCCATTTGCCACTGGCTCTGTCCGCCACTGGAGCATCTCTGAAAGCAAGTGGGGCCTTCAGGCCAAGAAAGGTTGAACACACATCCTTGGCTTGGAAGAGACCTGTGGAAGTCCTCGTCCTCTGCAGCTGCTCCTCACAGGGGCGTCTGCCACCTCGCCTCCCGACGCTGGACTGCATGAGACTTCAGAGCTCGTGCTCGAACGCGTGAGCGCGTTCCTCTAAGCACATCCACGTGCGAGGCCGTCGGCATCAGGCACACGTTCTGCTTG